GCTGGCCCCAATAAATAATTCTTAAAAAAATTAAAAAGTTTTAGGGGCCAGCAGGAGGTGTAGTGGTTATGGCGCTAGACTCCCACATAACCGCAGTTTGAGTCCCAGACCCAACAACTTGAAAATCACACTGGGTACTTGTGTGTGTGTGTGCTCAAAATCCCGAAAGAGACTAGAAGAGAAGGAATTGCAATTTAGCCATCCCCCTAAGGGGTGATTTCTCACTTTCCCTCTCTCTGTCTCTGTCTGGCAAGTGCATGCACCCTATGACAAAAATCTTAATAGTTTAAAAGCAAAAAACTTAATTGGTCTTACTGCGGTATAATTCACATACCATAAACAACTTTTTTTAAAGAATTCTTTTATTTAATTTTATTTATTTATTTATTTCCATTTGAGCAGAGAGGGACAGAGTGAGGGAGAGAAAGGGAGAGAGAGAGAAAGTGAGAAAGCAAGCTGCCAGGTGCAGGACTTGAACCACAGCCAGCCATGTGGGAATCTAGCTAGCACCCTTAACCACCACACCACCTGCCAGCCCCACATACCATAAACTTCTATAGTTTTTATTACGTTCATAGACTTACATAACCATCACTAATGATTTCAGAACATTTTTATTACCCCAAAATGAACCTCCATTTCGATTAAGCAGCCACTCTTCATTCCCCAGGTCCCCAGACCTCTGGGCCTTGGCAACTACTAATCTACTTTCTATTTCTATAGATTTTCTTATTCTGGACATTTTGCGTAAATAAAGGGCATGTGCGCTAACCAGAAAGAGACAGAGAAGGAGAAGGAAAAAGCACCCCCCAGTGGGGCTTGGTCAAACCACAATACCTTCTTTTCTCCATCCTGTGGGATTTGGGCATGCATATACATGCACCTGGCACTTTTGTTATTTTAACTTTATTTACGGATTTTAATTTGACCATAGAGAGAGAGAGCGCGAAAGTGAGAAAGCAAGCCACCAGGTACAGGACTCAAACTGCAGTTGATCATGTGGGAGTCCAGCGCCCTTAACCACCATGCCACCTGCCAGCCCCCAGTATACAAGTTTTTATGGGAACATATGTTTTTATTTCTCTAGGAATGTAATTACTGGGTCATGTGTTAACTCTATATTTAATATTTTGAGAAACTGCCAGACTATATTCCAAAGCAGTTGTGCCATTTTACAATGCTCCCAACAGTGTTTGAGAGTTTCAGTTTCTCCACAGCATTGTCAACATTTGTCTGTTTTTTTTTTTTTTGAGAGAGAGATTTTTTGCTATAGGGCACGTGCGCTCACCAGACAGACAGAGAGAGACATAGAGCCAGAAAAATCACACCACAGGGGGGATGGTCATGCCGCAATCCGTTCTCCTCCATTCTCCTCTTGGGATCTTGGGCACGCACGCACATGCGCCTGGCATGAGTTTTAAGCCACTGGGTCCAGGACACGAACCACGGTCGACTATGTGGGAGTTTAGCGACATAGCCATTACACTAACTGCTGGTTCCCAACACTTGTCTGTATTTTTTTATTTTAGCCATCCTAATGAGAGTGAAGAGGTATTTCATCATTTTTTTTATTTCTCGTATGACTGATGATAAAGTTACATATCTTTTCATGTGCTTGTAAGCTTATTCAGATTCTTTGCCCAATTTTTAATTAGGTTATATGTCTTTTTATTGTTGAATTGTAAGAGTTATTCACATATTCTACTCAGAAGTCTCTCGTCAGATATATGGCTCACAACTATTTGCTCCCATTCTGTGGGTTGTGTTTTAACTTTCTTAGTGGTATCCATTGAAGCACAAAGGTTTTAAATTTTCATAGAATCTAGTTTATCTGTTTCATCTTTTGTGTTTTTTGTGTCTTATCTACGAAACTGACTGATCCAATATAACAAAGTAAATACTTTGGGAGTAAATACTCCCACATTTTCTATAACCCTTAATCTTTTCCTCAGTTTAACTTCTCTAGTTATTGCCTTTCTATGTTTCTACCCACTACTGTAGTCAACACATGAAAGCTTGGAATACCAACAAAGGAGCCTTCCTCTCACACGGTTGGGGATGAGGGGCGGTACAGAGATTGTTAATACTTGCTTCTTAATTTTAATGTAAATTTAGTTTAACACAAATAATCATACTCAGTATCTTGTCTCTCGCAAATACATGTATTAGCCATTTGAATGTTTTATGTATTTCCTGTTGACATCCTTGAGCATATGTGGCTTGTCTAGCTCTTTACTGTACCCTACATGAAGATCTGTGACCCTGCTAAAGGAGTTAAATTTTAAGAAATTGTGGTATCAAGGGTTCAATGAAATGATGACTAAGAGAAAGGCAATGGGGGATTTAGATTCAGGGTGAGTGAAAAGAAAACAAATGATAGGTATAAAGGGGGAAGAAAGAGAAGTGAATGAATTAGGAGAAATTAGATGTATGGAGCCTGAGGGAGTGAAGACTGTTGGGACCTGAACTTAGAAGTATAGGAAACCAGAACTTGAGGAGGCCACTTTGTCATAGTGTGACCAAGAGACCAGAGAATCTCAGAATTGACTTTGCATCCTCAGAAACAGAGATTTTTGAATAAGAGAAATTTGGCCCATCAGAATAGCATAATTGGGAAGAGAAGACATCCTAGGGGATGCCAGTAATAAAGGTTCAGGCTAAGACTGGACAGAATTTGCACACTTCAAGAGGTCTGTACTCTGAGCTACACAGATATTAAGAATATATTATGCCAGGGCTAGCAAGTGGCATGATGGTTAAGGTGCCAGACTCCCACATGGCCAACCATGGTTTGAGTCTCAGATCTGGTGGGTTTCTCTCTCTCTCTCTCTCTCTCTTTCTCTCTCTCTGGTAAGCACACGTACCCTATAGCAAATTAAAATAATAATAATAAAATAAATAATTCTTTTTTTTTTAAGAGTATATTATGTCTTCATGTTTGCCAAGAGTTATGAGATGCTGTGCTAGGATGATACAAAGAGATAAAACTAGACCCCAGCCCCACTGAGGAGAAAGTTTGGCTTCAGCCATGTCACCCATCCCTGTGCCCAAATCAGCCTCTGCATTCAGGAAGCTCCAGTACAGTGAGGATAGTAAGGAAACTCAACCCACAGTCATCAAAGAGGGACGCAGAGCAAGACAAAGGTCAGAGGGGAAGTCACTTGGTCAAATGATACAGTATATTGAAAATTTTATTTCTTACAAAATTATAGCCTATTGCTATGAGTACATGATATATAAAGGGGTCTTCAAAAAGCTCACAGAAGGCGACCAGCAGTTAGCGTAATGGCTATGTCGCTGGACTCCCACGTAGTCGACCGCGGTTCGCGTCCTAGACCCGGTGGCTTAAAACTCACGCCTGGCACGTGTGCATGCGTGCCCAAGATCCCGAGAGGAGAATGGAGGAGAAGGGATTGCGGCGTGGCCATCCCCCCTGGGGGGTGATTTCTTGCTTTCTGTCTCTCTGTCTCTCTCTGTCTCTCTCTGTCTGTCTGGCGAGCGCACACGCCATATGGCAAAAACCTCTCCAAAAAAAAAAAAGGTTTGCTTTCAAAATTCATTACACTATTGGTGGCCAGGAGGTGGCGTGGTTGTCAAGGGCACTGGACGCCCACATGGCTGACCATGGTTCGAGTCCTGGACCTGGTGGTCAAATACAAATAAATAAATAAATAAATAAATAAAGTTAAATTTTAAAAATAATAATTCTTTTTTTTAAAAAAAAAAAAAGCTCACAGAAAATGCATATTATGAGGACCAGCAGATGGTGTAATGGTTATGTCGCCAAACTCCCACATAGTTGACCACAGTTCAAGTCCCAGACCTGGCAGCTTAAAACTCACACCAGGGGTCCAGCAGATGGCATGGTGCTTAAGGGTGCTGGATTCCCACATGGCCGACCATAGTTCAGGTCCTGGACCTGGGGGCTTGCTTTCTAGCTTTCTCATTCTTCCTTACTTTCTCTTGTCAAGTTAAAAAATAATAATAGCAAATGGAATTAAATAAATAATTTTTTTATTTTTTAATTTAAAAAAAAAACTCATCCAAGAGGAGAATGGAGGAGAAAGGGTGTGGCATGGCCATTCCCCCGGGGATGGTTTCTTGCTTTTTGTCTCTCTGTCTGTCTGGCAGGCACATGTGCCCTATAGCAAAAATCTCTTATAAAAAAAAAAAAGAAAAGAAAAGAAAGAAAGAAAATACATACTATGAAAAATATATGCATATATTTTAAATGTTTTTGCATCAAAATAAACTCATACTTTAATTCCATTTCCCCACAAACTTTTTGAAATCTCCTTGTAGTATTCATGATCACCCACTCCCCAGCTGTAAATTTGCATGCTGGTAGCTGTGTCTAAGGTATCTCTGTATCCCCTTAGTGCTTTGACCCTTTCAGACATCCTAGATGTTTTTATTAGTTATGTCACTATTCCTACCTTTTCTGTACTCGTGACTAGCTATTGTTTATTGCTTAAGACAGGGTCCTTGAAAGAGAAGGGGGAAGTGCTATCCCTGAGATCTCCAGACCTTATATGACATTAAAAGGGGCCTCGCCTTGGGGCTGGCAGTTGGTATGGTGGCTGAGGTGCTGGACTCCCACATGGCTAACCATGGTTCAAGTCTTGGACCTGGTGGCTTACTTTCTCACTTTCCTTCTCTCTCTCTCTCTCTCTCTGTGTGTCTGTCTGTTTCTGGTCAAATTTAAAATAATAATAATAATAAGTAAAATTAAATAACTCTAAAAAGGGGGGGGCTGGTCTTCTGTCACAATTGGATGCATGGAGACCTTTAAATGAAGGGGACCTGAGGAGCTAGACCTGTGCAATACAGAGTGTGTTGAGCCTCCCTGCCCTCTCAGGTGGCCGTGCTGTCAGAGTTTCATCTGAACTTGAGCCTTTTCTCCTTGGATTCTCCTCCCTCTGAAAGTGACATGGGGGAGGGCATGTCCCTGACTTCCAGGGAGGTGACATTAGGTTCCCTTTCTTTCCCTCTCTCTCCAGGTGCCAAGCTCTCCTGATGAAATGTGTTCTGCCCCACTGGGCTTCGGGGGCAGTGTCCGGTGCTGTTGATGCCCTTGTTCGAACTTTCCAGAATGGATAGTCCCCCAAAGCTGACTGGAGAAACCCTCATCGTCCACCACATCCCCCTTGTGCACTGTCAAGTCCCAGACAGGCAGTGCTGTGGAGGGGCAAGTGGTGGTAGTGGGAGCACAAGATCCAATCCCTTCTGCCCTCCTGAGCTGGGCATCACCCAGCCTGATCAAGACCTAGGACAAGCTGACTCCCTGTTATTCAACAGTCTGCACTCTGCCTCCGGGGGATCTGTGCGGTCTGCAGATGGCACCAAGGGTAGGGGTTGGGAGGGAAGAGGCCCTGCAGCACCCAAACGACACAATCCCTTCTTGCTACAGGAGGGTGTGGGTGAGCCAGGACTTGGTGACGTGTATGATGACAGCATTGGTGACATTGGCACCCAGAAGTCCTTCCACTTGCATGGTACTAGCCAGCCCACCTTCCATCTATCCTCTTTTCAGCTGCCACCGTCTGGCCCTGGAGTGAACAGGCCATGGGGGGCAACACGCAGTCGGGCTGGAGTGGTAGAGGGGCAGGAACAGGAGCCAGTGACGACGCTGGATACCCAGCCATGCATTGCCAGCCACTGCTGCCGGCCAGAGCCTGAAGCTGAGACCATGGAGCTGGATGAGTGTGGTGGACCTGGTGGGAGTGGCAGTGGAGGTGGAGCCAGTGACACCTCTGGCTTTTCTTTCGACCAGGAATGGAAGCTCAGTTCAGATGAATCCCCAAGGAACCCCAGTTGCTCAGGCTCCAGAGCCCAGCACTGCCGCTGCAGCAGCACATCCAGTCAGTCCGAGGCGGCTGACCAGTCCATGGGCTATGTGAGTGACTCCTCCTGCAATAGCTCAGATGGAGTGCTGGTCACCTTCAGCACCCTCTACAACAAGATGCATGGCAACTCCCGGGCCAATCTCAACTCTGCCCCACATTCCTGCAGCGACTCTTCCTTCTGCAGCCATTCAGACCCTGGCGCCTTCTACCTGGACCTTCAACCCTCCCCAGCTGAGTCTAAGATGTCTTGTGAGTCCCACCACCCTGAAAGTGGAGGAAGGGAAGGGGGCTACGGTTGTCCTCATGCCTCATCTCCTGAGCTTGATGCCAACTGCAACTCCTACCGCCCACACTGTGAGCCCTGCCCAGCTGTAGCTGACCTCACAGCCTGCTTCCAGAGCCAGGCCCGTCTTGTGGTGGCCACACAAAATTACTATAAACTTGTTACCTGTGACCTGTCTTCTCAATCATCCCCAAGCCCTGCTGGCTCTTCCATCACCAGCTGCTCCGAGGAACACACCAAGATCAGTCCCCCACCAGGCCCTGGTCCAGATCCAGGCCCCAGCCAGCCCTCTGAGTATTACCTATTCCAGAAGCCAGAAGTCCAGCCAGAGGAACAAGAAGCAGTGGGTTCCTCAGCAGAAGCAGCGACTGCTGCCAGCCCTGCTGTACTTGAGGGGCAAGTGTACACGAATACTTCGCCTCCCAACATTGGCACTGGACGTCAGCGCTCTCGCAGCTATGATCGCAGCCTGGAGCGCAGCCCTCCCATGCGCCTGGGCTCACTGGAACGCATGTTGAGTTGCCCAGTACGCTTGAGTGAGGGCTCTGCAGCTCTGGCCGGGCCCAGCTCCCCACCAAGAAGGGTCACCTCCTTTGCTGAGCTGGCCAAGGGCCGGAAGAAAGCTGCAGGCTCTGGCTCCCCGCCACTTCGGGTGAGCGTTGGGGACTCCTCCCAGGAGTTCTCACCCATCCAGGAAGTGCACCAAGACAGGGTGGGCCCTCCAGATGAGGGCACTCGCTGCAGCCATAGCTTACCACCCATGCCCTTGGGGCCAGGCACAGACCTACTTGGCCCAGAGCCCTGGTCCACCCAGGTCTGTCAGGGGCCCCAGTCCAGTGAGATGCCACCTACTAGCCTCAGAGCTGCTGGGCAAGGCCCCCTGACCCAGCTGATGGATCCAGGGCCTGCTCTCCCAGGGAACCCAGCCAACGGACATACTCAGAGGGATGCAAGAGCTAGAGCTGACGGTAAGGAACCTGGAGGCTGGAACATACCCATGTGTATGCATGGCCTCCTTGGTGACAGGTCCCTACCAACTACCCCATTCATACCACTAGTTTCCTCAGTCTAGGTCTCTTATCCTTCCAGTCCTGCATATGCCCTACAGTTATAATAGGGAGGACCAGGAGAAGGGAGATAGAAGATTTTTAAAATGCACTGTGGAGATAAGAGCAACACGACTTGGAGGCTGGTGTACTGGGAATGTACTCAGAAAATTGTGAGTCTGAACCTGGGTGACTGGAAAGATGATTCCCTGGGTTGGGGCTATAAGCAGAGGTAGATTTAATGAAGAGGGATGAGGCATGAGTTCAGCTGTGCATTTGGAATTTTCAGTGCTTTAGACACAACCAAGAGATATGTCCAACAGAAAAGCTACACTGGGTGTCAGTGATAGGTGATTATAGCTACTCTCTAGAGAGCCTGAGACCTGACCCTTGACCCTTAAGGACCAAGAGGCCTCCCCAGGTCAGCTCTTCCCCTTTCTTTTGAATGGTTAAGTAATTATTTCATACAAGGCTCTAGGTTAAGGTGATGCTGGTAATAGAAAGGTGAGAGGGACTGTCTCTTCAGGAATTCCAGCTAAGGATAGAAACAGAAAGGAAGCATAATTAAAATGCAGAGACGGCAGTGTTTGGTACTGGGCAATGAGAGAGGTATCTAAGCCAGATTGAAATGTCAGAGAAAGCCTGCCAACACAATTTACATATAAGCCCAGTCTAGAAAGGTGATTAGGCTTTGTGGAGACTTTTTTTTTTTTTTTTTGGAGAGGTTTTTGCTATAGGGTGCATGCGCTCACCAGACAGACAGAGACAGAGAGATAGAAAGCGAGAAATCACCCCCCAGAGGGGATGGCCATGCCGCAATCCCTTCTCCTCTCGGGATCTTGGGCACACATGCACACGCGCCTGGCATGAGTTTAAGCCACCGGGTCCGGGATGTGAACCGCTGTTGACTATATGGGAGTCCAGCGACATAGCCATTACACTAACTGCTGGTCCCCCAGCTTTGTGGAGACTTTTAAGAACATCCTGGACTCAGAGTAGTCTGTACAAAACCACAAAGGCACAGGATATAGGCACAGGATAGCTTGATGCTTTCCAGGAATACAAATAATTTAGAATGGGCATGGGGGGTGGGGAAAGAATCATTAAAGGATTTTAATCAGGGAAGTAGCATTTTTTGGGAGGGGAATTGCCTGTTTGGGGTTTTCGTTTGCTTGGTTTTTGTTTTTGTTGGCATGTTTTGATTTGAAAGTTAGAAAGATCACTAGTTCTTTGAGTGGGAAGTGGACTGGAAATGATATTTCTCCAGAAGTTAGGAGAGCCTATGATGTAGATGAAAGTCTTTGTAATAAAAGTGGTAGTCGAAACTATGTGAGTAGATGAGAGCATCGAATGGGAACAAGTATAGAGCTCTAGCGATACTATGATTTAAAGGGTGAGCAGAGCAACCCTCAAAAGAGACTGAGAAGAATTAACCAGAAAAAAAAAAATAGAAGAAAAAAAAGGAGAAAGCAGTCACAGGAACCAAAACCCCAAAGCTTTTAAAAAAGAATTAGGTCCAACCAATTGAGTTCTAAAGAAAAGCCACCTGATATAAGGCTGAAGAATCCTGAAAGTAACATTCAGGAGTAGTAAGAAATTTAGATCTCAGAGGGTCGGAAAGGGAAGGGAGATAAAGCGGGGACAGCAAATTCCTCCACAACTCTACCGCGGTATGTTGACTTCTCAAACGAAAGGGGCTAAAAAACCATAAATGGTAATGTGGGTGCTATTAAGGGAGAGCAGAGTCCATCAGGACTCCATTAAGGAGATGCCTTTGGCAGGGAGTGGAGGAAGGTCTCTAGGGAAGAGACAAGGTCAGAAACAGCAGGGATTGGCCAGAGCCCTTGAGAACCCACTCACTCCTTAGACCTCAGTCTCGTGAGTATATCTGGTGGGACACTGGTTGGCAAGCAACACTGGTCAGAGGTGGGTTGAGAGGTGTTCAAAGTGTTTTTTCCATTAGATAAGACTTTTCATATCGAGATGCTGTTCTGTTCCATAAGTCTTCAGTGACCTGTGTCACAGGGCTTTTCTCTTGATTCTCTATACGTTTTTTTTCTGGAGGGGTTTTTGCTATAAGGCAGGTGTGCTCTTTTTTTGGAGAGGTTTTTGCTATAGAGCACATGCACTCTCCAGAAAGAGAGAGACAGAGAGACAGAAAGCGAGAAATCACCCTCAGTGGGGATGGCCATGCTGCAATCCTTTCTCCATTCTCCTCTCGGGATCTTGGGCACACACGCACACGCACCCTGCGTGAGTTTAAGCCACCAGATCTGGGACTCAAACCACGGTCACCTATATGGTAGTCCAGCGACATAGCCATTATGCCAATTGCTGGTCCCTGTATACCTTCTTTTTTTTTTTTATGAAAAAATGAAAAATTCATTGAATTTATAAAAGGTAAATGAAGAGACAATAAGAAGCTGAGAAAGCTTGTTGAGATCCTTAGCAGGAGAATCAAGATTCAAGAGAATCTTACCAAATCTTGAAAGAACAAAACTAATAAAGCAGGGGCTAATGTAAAGGAAGCCGTACTTGGTTGATTTGGGATATTTATCAATAATTTATTGCAAACTCAACATGAGTCAGCAGTTTAGAAGGGATTCCGAAAAGTTAAAATGACTAAACTCATTCATATGCTCCAGAAGGGAAGAGTTGACAGTCCCCATCCTACTCACTTCTGAACTAGTGAGTTCTGCACACTACTTAGGAAGGAATTGGAGGATGGGGCTTGTTTCACCTACAGAAGAGCAGATTTAGGTGAATGGTCTCTGTCTTCATTTTCTTAAGGGCTATCACATAGAAAATTGAGAAAACATGGGACCAGCAATTGGCGTAATGGCTATGTCACTGGACTCCCATGTAGCCAACTGCGGTTCAAGTCCCAGACCCAATGACTTAAACTCATGCTGGGTGCGTGTGTGTGCATACCCAAGATCCCCAGAGGAGAATGGAGGAGAAGGAATTGCAGCATGGCCATCCCCCCTGGGGGGTGATTTCTTGCTATCTCTCTGTCTCTCTCACAAGCACACACCCCCTATAGCAAAACTCTTCCCCCCCCAAAAAAAAAATTGAGAAAACATGTTCTGTATATTCCCTGAGGGTAGAACAGAGTCCAAACTCCCACAGTGGGCTTCCTTCTTATTTCTTTGCCTCAAACTATATCCTGGGAACTTAGTAGGGAAGATTTTAAAAAGAGTAGGAATTAAAGTCTAACTCTGACATACTTTATATAGGTGAGATAATAAAGCTAGGATTCAAAAGACCTCATCTAACAGCCTGGGCCAGTTCAGCCTGGAAATTAATATTTAAAGAAGTAAGAAGGAAGGAGATGTTCCTAACGGGATGGGTGGGAGACTAGAACCAATGAGGATGACAGGTGAGGAAGTTTGAGGGGCGGGCAGCCTAATTTGTGGCAGGTGTGAGCTCCTACCTACCTGAGAAGATTAGACCTTACTCTATAGACAGTGGGACTCACAGGAGATAAAGCCGGTATTTTAGGAAGCTAGCTGATTTATGTAAGAAGATTCTGGATGCCATGAGACTGGCCTAAATCAAGAGTGACAGGGGGATTTATTCATTTAGTAAGTCTTTATTCAGTATCTGGTATGTACCAGGCTGTGTTCTGGACACTGGGGATATATAATAACAATGAACAATATCACATCCCTACTTTTCTGGAGCCCTTATGAAGAATAATAGGCAGTAAACACATTAAAAAGACCATTTCTGATAGTGAAAAATGATAAAAGGAAAATTAAGCAGGGTAGTGGGGCAGTTTGGCAGAGGGGCTGAGATAGTCAGAGAAGGTCTTAGCAATGTTTGTGTTTGTGCCAGAATGATGAGAAGATTTCAGGTGGAAGCAATAGCAGGTACAAAAAGCCCTGACCTGTTAGTGAACTAACTTGGCCTGCTTAAGAACAAAAGGTAGAATGGCTGGAGCATAATGAATAGGGAAAATGACAGATTGCTGTCCAAGCAGAGATGACAGGAGGGTATAGTTTGAAAATGTCAAAAAGTGGGGGAGGGGACCAGCAGTTGGTATAATGGCTATGTCGCTGGACTCCCATGTAGTCAACCGCAGTTCGAGTCCCGGACCCAGTGGCTTAAATTCATGCCAGGTGCATGTGCGTGCATGCCCAAGATCCTGAGAGAACGGAGGAGAAGGGATTGCAGCATGGCCATTCCCGGGGACTGATTTCTCATTTTCTGTCCTCTGTCTCTCTGTCTTCTGGCAAGTGCATGCGCCGTATAGACAAAACCAAAAAAAAAAAGAACTCTCCAAGAAAAAGAAAATGTCTCCTGGGAGTGATTCTGAAACTCCTCCCTAATGGGCTTGTGGTCTCCATCTCCTGCAACTCATTGATATAAGTAAGAAAATATTAAGGAGAGAACCAGAGAGATGGCAGCAAGAAAACACTTGGAACCAGAATTGTTGGCTTTGAAGATGGAGAAATGTGGCCCAAAGCCAAACAATGCAAGTGGTATCTAGAAACCAGAAAAGGCAAAGAAATAGATTCTTCCTTGGACTCTCTAGAAAGCAAGATAGTCTTGCTAACACCTCAGTTTTAGCCTACTGAGACCAATTTTATGCTTCTGACCGCAGGAGCTGAAAGTGAATCATTTGACAGGTTGGAGATTTTATATGGAGAAAGATAATTTCTTGAAGTTTTCTGTGACTGTAAGCGCCAAAAGCTATTTTCAGCTATAGAATTAATAATGTATTTACATTCTCCCGGGGTAGTGGATTTGTTTAATCTTCACATTGAACCTGGGCTAAAATTTTGTCCTCTTGGTCACCAATGAGCCAGATTTGAAGGCCACAGAGGCTTCCAGAAGACCCAAGTGTCTGTTCATACATGAGTCAAGGAGAAAACCAAGCAAGTAAATTATCCTAATGACTGCTCTCCAGCTAGTCTTTTAAGTCGAAAATCTTGTTTTGAGTAAAGCATTTTTTACTGTAAAAAAAAAAAAAGTGATGAAGGATAGGAAACACTGGCCTGGTAGCATTTCATGTGAATTGTAAGGTGGTGAAAAGGAATATTGCCCAGAAGTCAGAATGGCTTAGGCAGAATTCTCACTATCACTGCCTAGCTTCATGATCTTGGGCAAGTGACTTACTTTCTCTAAATTTCTGTTTTCTTGGTCTGTCAAGTAAAAATACTTGTTCCTCCTCAAGAGTTCTTGAGCCACCTCATCAGTGAGCCACAGCCAGAGTTTTAGGCCATGCAAATGCTTCTAGTGCCACCTTGTGTTCATTCAGTGTTTATACTACGCACAGTGTTTTATTAGAAGTTCATTCCTTACAGGGACTGGCCTGCTGCCGTGTGTCCTGGAGTTTTGTGCCTAGTTCGGAGGCCCATGTTTTAAGGGGTGTTGACTAGCCTTGGGGAATATACTTCTGTGCGGCGGGAGCAGACATGGACTCTTGGGGCTCCAATGCCAGGATCGTGAAAGAGTGGGAGAGGGAGTGGACAGGGACAATAGGAAGGCTGGTTCTGGCTGCAAGTAAAGAAATTGTTTGTTATGATGAGATTTTCTCAAGAATGAAATGTGCTGGCATGAGTGGAGACGGGATGACGAATGAAAGCCTGAGGTCAGTAACAAAATCAATGACTGACTCCAAGTCTTTAGGCTTTAGAAACAAAGGTCACTAACAGAAATGATGGGCATCAGGAAAAGGGGGAAAGGTGATGGATGAGCAGTTTCAAAATAGCAAAGTTTAAGTGAAAGCAGAGCCCTACAGCAGAGTAATATAGAGATCAAGTGAAAGGTCAGGGTTAAAGCTGTGGATTTGGGAGTCTTCTATGTGAAAGTTTACTCATAAGCTATGCAAGGGAGAAAACGTAAATGAAACGGAAAAACTGGGCCTTGAGATACACCCACCTTTGGAGCCCTTTTTGTTAAGAGCAGCTAGACCGTAAAGAGGTATAAGCCAGTCCAGTGTCATAAAAACAAGGAAAAGAAGAAGGGGAATCTGACTCCACAAACTTGGCTTCCCTTGCCCCCATTCAGTTCCTGCAGCCTGGCTCCCGCCCATCTTGCCCCTTCCCCCATTGGGCATCATCTCCTAGCTCTGCATCCATGTTTCCTCTCACGTGGTTTCAGTGTCTATCCATCTGATTCCTTCTCCATCCCTGTTGCTACAGGGGGTGGTGCTGAGAGCCGACCAGTCCTTCGCTACAGCAAGGAGCAGAGGCCAACCACGCTGCCCATCCAGCCCTTCGTGTTCCAGCACCACTTCCCCAAGCAATTGGCCAAGGCCCGGGCCCTGCACAGCCTTTCGCAGCTCTACAGCCTCTCGGGCTGCAGCCGTGCACAGCAGCCTGCTCCACTGGCTGTCCCCACTGCTCAAGTCCCAAACCCTGCTTCCTCAGGGGAGCCACAGGCATCCACCCCCCGAGCCCCTGGCAGAGGTGCCAGGAAAGCTGGGCCTGAGCCGGAGACCTCACGGCCATCGCCCCTGGGCAGCTACTCCCCCATCCGGAGTGCTGGCCCCTTTGGGCCCAGCACTGACTCTTCTGCATCTACTTCCTGCTCCCCTCCCCCGGAGCAGGCAACAGCCACTGAAAACCTACCCCCATGGAACA